AATTCACTTTCTTATGTAATAGAATTTTCAGGAAACACTTATCCTTTCGCAGAAATTTGTGTGCACGGTAGATGGAAAATCGGAGAGCGCCATTCAATTCCCCATAAAATTACGCTTTATTCCATTGTAAGCTTCTATAATCAATTATGTATAGAAAACATTTTATCGCGTTCATACCTCCCAGCTGACAATAGAATTTCACTTAGTTTTCTGACAAGCGGAAATTATCGTCGCGCGTATACTGTTATGAAGACTGTTAAAAACGTGCGAGAGACACCTTAAGTTAAAGGTAGAACTCAGGCTTCCCTGAGAACAAGTTGCGCGAACACATGTTTTTTTTTGTGATGTAGTTTTATATTTTTTTTATACGAGTTTTATATACGAGTAAACCCTGAGATTTTCGACGATATTTTAGTTTGTTTTTGCGTAGAGTTCGATATTTATCACAAATACTGAGCACAGTTTTGTGTGCACGGTAGATGGAAAATCTGAAACAGCCATTCTATTCTAATATAAATTATATCTAAAATGCTTTAGTTTGCCTCTTTAAAACGAAAAGCGGCCGAAGATATTCGCCCTTCAATATCACAACAATTCACTTCGTATGTAATAGAATTTTCAGGAAACGCTTATCCTTTCGCAGAAATTTGTGTGCACGGTAGATGGAAAATCGGAGAGCGCCATTCAATTCAGCATAAAATTCCGCTTTATTCCATTGTAAGCTTCTATAATCAATTATATATAGAAAACATTTTATCGCGTTCATACCTCCCAGCTGACGATAGAATTTCACTTAGTTTTCTGACAAGCGGAAATTATCGTCGCGCGTATACTGAGCACAGTTTGGTGTGCACGGTAGATGGAAAATCTGAAACAGCCATTCTATTCTAATACAAATTCTATCTAAAACGCTTTAGTTTGCCTTTTTCAAACGAAAACCGGCCGAAGATATTCGCCCTTCAATATCCCAACAATTCACTTCGTCGTGTAAGGGAATTTTCAGGAAACACTTACCTTTCGCAGAAATTTGTGTGCACGGTAGATGGAAAATCGGAGAGCGCCATTCAATTCCCCATAAAATTACGCTTCATTCCATTGTAAGCTTCTATAATCAATTGTATATAGAAAACATTTTATCGCGTTCATACCTCCCAGCTGACAATAGAATTTCACTTAGTTTTCTGACAAGCGGAAATTATCGTCGCGCGTATACTGAGCACAGTTTTGTGTGCACGGTAGATGGAAAATCTGGAACTACCATTCTATTCTAATACAATTTCTATCTAAAATGCTTTAGTTTGCCTTTTTCAATCGAAAACCGGCCGAAGATATTCGCCCTTCAATATCTCAACAATTCACTTCGTATGTAATAGTATTTTCAGGAAACACTTATCCTTTCGCAGAAATTTGTGTGCACGGTAGATGGAAAATCAGAGATCCATTCAATTCACCATAAAATTCCGCTTCTTTTCATAGTAAACTTTTATAGTCAATAAATTATATTGTCGCGCTCATATATGAGATATGTACACATATACATCAAAGCCAAAAGAGAGAATAGACATCAGTAAATAAGTGATACGCTATATAGTTCGGGTGTTAATTTTGGCATGTAGAGGACCAAGACCACATGCAAGTTCATCATCGTACTTTGTTACTTTAGTTTTAAAACATGACTGGTATGCTTGTATTACTTGAGCTAGGAATCAGTGATCTTATGAAAATAAATGGGAATAAATAAGAAATATCATGGTACGTCATGCGCTGAATTTTCCTTGATTAAATCTTGGTCAATCTACATTCGAGTGATTCAACTTGTATTAGAAATTTTTTTAAACATTTGCAGGTGAAAGAAATAATTAGAATTATTGCTATTCACCGTCAACTGATGTTAGGTACATGCATGTCCAACGACTATATCTTTGTAGTCCAACTGTAAGTTGTTGATAAGCTAGGTAGACCAACTTTGCAAATTGCAATGATCCCGAGTATATTCGAGTGGTTTCATGTAGGCGTTATCGTATAGAAAATGCCACAGTCAAGGAATGGTATGATAAAAATTGGCTCTTGACGTCAATGCTAATCCTTTTCAATTGCTGATCAGGACGATTGATTAATCGCAAATTTCTTGCCTCGACAATATATTAAAAAACATGAAATGTTTTACAAAATATGACCCTTGGCTTTTTATATATGATCCTCCACCTTTTAATATGACCCTTGACTTTTTTGTGTGACCTTCAACTTTTTATACATGATTCTCGAATTTTTACCCTCGACTTCTTACACTCGACATTATACCCACTACACTCGAGTTCCCATCTTCGACACTCGACCCTCGACAAAAACCTAAACTCCTACTTGTCATTTGGATGATGATTTTACTCCCAAATTAAAGTTAAGATGTCAAGGTTTTCTCCTATGAGAAAACGCTCTATCGTTAGAAAGCGGACAAAGTTTAAAGTAAGTTTCTAAAGATATATTTACTAATTTACATTACATTACATTACATTAAAATGTACCAAGTTATTAGATTATTTTATATTTCTCTTGCAATATGACACGACTTGCATGTGTTATACGATTTCGACATAATGCACTTCATGCATGTCAAAGTTGCATTTACTGAACAATTTGAACAGTGTACATGAACATGATACAATTGTCATATATACACAGTTTTTTATATACGATAATAGCTAAATTGCCAAATTAAGTGAGTAATGAGAATCTTTTTAATATTCCTTTATTAATTTGTTTTATATGCAGGCAAAGAGAAGGTTGGATAATAAGCGAATTGATTATGCCAAACTTCAAGAGCTGATACTAAAAGCACCACATGAGAATCTTCCACTTACTCTTAAAGAAAATGGTTTCTATTTTTCAATTGCCAAAAATTACTTCAACAAAGATACTCCAACTACAAAGGAAGTTAAAAAAATCTATAATGTTTGGTCGAAGAATTTTGGAAATGTTCGTGTTAATGTCCAACAGGTATAGTTTTCATTGTCAATCGAAATTCCGTGTATGTCGACTAGCCGATTCCGATGCTGTGTGAAGATATCCAGGATCGTAGCGAATAAATCTAGGGCCTGTTTACATGGATGTTACAGATATAGGGTCACTATACAATGTATGGTGACCCTATCTGGAAGGTTACCATTGCAAGCGGGTCACCTTAGTGTAATTTGTTTTGTAGGTTATCCTAGGGATATGGTTGCCATATCACACAGATAGGGTGACCGTGGAAGCAGGGCTATCTTTTTGTTTACATAAGCCATGTAAACGCGTCAGGTTGGATTACCCTACAATCGAGTGTTTTATACGTCCTGCTGTGATTGCTTGCAATAATGTAGCAAGCAAAGGCCCAAGAAATAGCATTACACAACTTGTCGCTAAACATTTCGTTTAGGCGCCATTTTTTCTAATACAGACGACTTAGCGATAGGGACACACATATTATGCCGGAATTTCTTTTAGAATAATAGGGGACTTTTGAAACGGAGAATAATAGTAAAAAGGGAAAATAATAAGGAACGTTTAGATATGACGTCATCGTGCCAACGTAAATTCCCTAATTAGCGTATGCGCCATCCGCCCATGTGTCAGCGACGCGGCGTGCATGTGCGTCGTGTACGTAGAATTTTTGGACTAATAACATTATGCATTATTTAAAATGCAAATTTCAAATAAAATTGAAAATCTAGACGAAATTTCCATTTCCATTATATATAGATAAACTTTTTGTTTTCTCCTGGTCTTGGTTCGCCTTGATGTAAAATAATTTTGGGAATAATTAAGAATAATATGATAAAGTCAAGGGAATTAAGGAATAGAATAATGGGCAAATAATGTGTGTGTCCCTACTTAGGTAACGCGCAAAAATTTTGCGTTTCGGCGCCATTTTCCTAATACAAACGGCTTAGCGACTACGCGTAGGTAGGGTTGCCCTACCCTACCTCATGTAAACGCGCGCCGTTTTCTGACCCGCTTGCTATAGTTTATTTAACCCTTCTTATATGTAGAGTTACCCTATCTCTATGTAAACAGGCCTCTAAGCATAGAGGTGTTGCCTATTTGCCGAAAGATACTAGTTTGACGACTATCGTTATATTCATTTTCGTAAGTAAATAAGTAAGAAAATCACATCACATGAGCATTTTGCTGCGGTATGCTATATATTGCATACAACACCATCGTGTTTTTTCATAACTAAACGTTATGAATGAGCTAATTAATTAATTTATATATAATTCATCCGATATTTTTATCGTTTTAGAACAAAGAACAGGAAATGCAAGGATGTGAAGAAGATAAACATGAAATGACCGAAGATTTCACCATCCTCAATTGTCAGTGAAGCAACAGAAATCCCCGAAAGAACGACAAGACCAAAAAAGAAAGTGATAAGTCCAAGGAATGTTTGCAATTTACGAAGCGTCCGGAAGGTATGATATAATCTATTGTACCACCATGAAAGTAACAATGTTACATGATTTACTTCTGAAATTATGATAGCATGTATTGCTTGTGAATGAGCGAAATTTAATTCGTTAATTTTTCTTGTTTCTTGTGTGCATATGGGTAAAAAATAATTATTCATGGTTCCTAGAAGGGGTTCTTTTATAGCTGGGGTGGAGGGGGGAGCGGTAAAATCATCGAGGGGGTCATATGAAAGTTTTAGTTCTGGCAATGTTATTATAGCACTTGGAAATTTTGAATTTTTGCATGGCTACAAGTTTAATTACAGCAAGTTTTGCACTATTACAAACGTCAGAAAATAAAGACTTTTTAATTGTTTGACTGATATTGTACAAACCATATTTATACACTTGTACTATATTTTATATAAAATGGGGGGGGGTTTACAAACGTTTTTCGTGTTTTCTTGAAGGGGGGTCATGCCAGGATGCTACCCCTCCCCCCCCCCCGCCCAAAAAAACATAAATAATGAACAAAAAGCTTTTATCTAAAAGCTTTTACCTGTTCTTTTGATACCGGAATCAGGTCTATATGCATGTAGGCCTATTTTGTATTGTAACAACTACTGCATGGAAGTTATAGAACTCATTAATATATTGGTTTAATTGCCTAATTTACATAACATTTTTTACATTTCTTTATATTTTCATGTAGAAAAATGTTCGTCTAGCGGATTATATTGTCACTCCATATATTAAACGAAAAAAGGTAACAACAATTCCACATTTCTGCATTCAAGGTCGAGGTAAGCGTTACCAGCCGAGCCGAAGGCGAGGTTGATAACGCGACCCTAGGCCTGTTATACAAATAAGGAAATACAAAATAACAGAAACTCCGAATAACATTTTGATTTTTAATCAACGTTTCGAAGAGTTTGTAGTCATCCTCAGAAAGAATCGATTAATAATGAGATTAATAACTACAAACTAGTCGAAAGTCAATTAAAAATCAAAATGTTATTCGGAGTCACTGTTATTTTGTATTTTCTTAAAATACTGAGTGGATCACGTGATTTTAAGTATACAAATAAAGTAATACAATCATGTTCATGAGCGCGTGAGTTACTTATACAATTCCTGTATGTAGGTCCCAAGTTTGAGCGATGTATTATACTGTGTATGTCGTACACCAGACGATGGAAGGTATATATACATCATTCGTATATTTCATCACTCATATTTCGATAATTTAGATTTTATTTTTATTTTATATTCATAATAATCACATTATTTCTGGAAAATACATAATCATATTGAACATGGCATGTGTATTATCCCGCTTTTCTTACAAACATGAAACATATTACTAGTATTAATACTATATGCAAAGTAATATTATATGTTTGGTTTGTAATTTTTACAGGCTGTATGTTTTTTGTGAAAACTGTTTAAACTGGTTCCATCCAGATTGTGTTGGAATAACTTCAGAAGAAGCCAAGAGAGTTCCTGATTATTTTTGTCCCGATTGTTCTCGAGATAAAGGAATGAATAGTTCAGGAGTATGTGCAAATAGTTACCTTTACAGAAAACACCGCGTTTATTTATATATATTAAATGGCAAAGCTTTCTGAATACAATGCACCCGATAAATTTCTAATATTATTTCCACTAACACACTGTATCTGCGGGGGTTCTAAAACACATAGGTCGCAGGTCAGCAGGTCACAGGTCGCAGGCTATGCCTATGGTCACGCCACAATGAGGAAGGAAGTATTAATATTTTTTGCTTGTAATTAACTGTACATTAAAATAAATTTTCATCTTCTTTCGCCGGATGTTCAAATAAACTATTTCTGGATAAAGTTTCGAAACGAACGAACACATGCAGAAATACACATACCAAAACAGCGAGTTAAATTCTAACGAAGGGTTAGCGCTTTTCCAGATTTTAACAATCGGTACCTTGTATTATTATTTATTAGCCTATCATGACCGGCGACATGTGCATGACCTTTGTTTTAGACCAGCCGCTATAGCTTGCTGATGACGGTCTGAGATAATTGATTGGATACAGCTTTGTTATATATTAACATTTTACATACGTGGTGATTCCGCAAAACTAACTTAATCATAGCTATCATTGTACACCATAGATAACCATTGGTCCTCTATTTTTTCAGTAACAAATGTGTATATATTCTCATAATGTGTCTTGAAACAATCGTTTTGCTAGAAAGTACGAAGTTCGCGAGATAGCGACCCATTGGAACAAGGTTATTCTCCCACAACTGAAACCAGCTTGAATGCGGAGCAGGTAATACAAATGTATTGACAATTGATTTCAGTTATTCTATATTAAATCAGTAAATCAAATAATGTCGAAATAACTAATAATTATTGAGCGAAGTCGAGCAAGACATCAACGACAATGTATAATTCAAACCTTGGTCCACGTTATTTGGCAAAACTAACGCATGACTGTGCATGACAATAATAAACCAGTAAAACAAAATTTTTGCAAAGAAACAACATTAATATATTTATCGAATTTTCAGAACCAGCACAATATCAGTGCATTGTGAACTAACAAAAAATCCAGCTGACCAGGTTCCGCGCCCAATAACCACAACATAACCACCGGCCAATAATTTTTTGATTATGCATACTCAAGCGATTCTTCACATTGCATTGTATTTCCTTGTCAGATTGATGGTACAATAGAGAATGAAGAACCCGTTCCACTTGGATATTCATTCACATCTAGAGACACTGATGTGAGTACCTACTTTATACATCATCACATTCAATGAACCATAGTCTATCTCTTCTATCCGCCAAGGATTGTAGGCTTGTTAATTTTAACGCGTTTAATTATTTATTTATGCATCTGTAAACTATACCTGGCCTTGTATATTTATGATGCAAATAAATTTTCCTCAAAAAAGTTTCCATTATTATTTTTATATAATTTATAGGACAAAAGTTCACCAAATTTATCAGAGGAAGCAAGTGAAGAAAATTTTCCAGATGCGACCAGCTTTGAGGCAAGCGAAATTAAAATATTTGCTCTAGCGTTAACCTGCATCGTATTAATCGAGCATTCTACAGTGTAAATAAACAAATGCATGCAATATACATATAATACAATATAATACATGCTATACTTTACTTTATAGACTGAGGCCGATGTTGATCATGTTGATCATGATGTTGATGATGTTGATGTCAACACAAATGACAATGATACGAGAGATAAATCGGTATGTATATTGGAACAAGACGCTTATATTTTATAGTTTGTTATGTAATTTGTACAAAATAGTTCTACTATTTTATACGAGTATATATGATAAAAATCATGTTCATTTACTGATTTACATATACTTTATCTTTGATGTTCTTGGCTAGGACAACTTTCATTTTTACAATTATTTCCCATTTCGCCAATGAACTCATTATGCAGATGGGTGGAAATTAAATACTATATAGTCAACATGAGCAGCAGTGATTTATCCAGATATCAAAGGTACGAGGCGAAGCCGAGTATATTTAGGTCTGATAAAACACACACTGCGAATGTTTTAAATTGCTTCAAAAAACGATCGATCTAGTAAGTTCATTGGCGAAGTAATTTTCAAAAAATACGTTGTTTAAGTCGAGAAAATCAAAGTTAAAGTTTATGTGAATCAAGGGAAATCTTTATCACATGTAAAGATATGACACGCTTATGATTTTTCTTTGTGTTTTCCTCAAGAATTATTATTATCATCATCCCGTAGGTATCTTTTTCAAAAGAAACACTTGATTGCATTGTTGGAGAGGACGCCAATGTAAACAGTACATTCTTTGAAACTGAGATTCCTCAAACTACATGTTTCATTCTGTCTAACGATGAGTGGGCAAGATTAACTCCTGTGGAGAACAAGAATGGAAGACGAAAGTTTCCAAAGGTTTGGACGGATATTTTCATGAAGCACATAAAAGAAAGTAACCCATACTGTTGTTTTGCTTTCAAAGAAAACCGCGTTAAAGGACGTAGAAGTTTACGTCGTTCAACGCTGTACTTCCAAGGAAAAGGAATATGCCGTCACCCTGGGTGTGGTGTTGAGATCGAGCTTTCTATAAATGCAGGTGCCGACGAAGATATTAAGAAAGTAACAGTAAGGTACAGCGCAAATGTATATCATGATACCTCTTACCTCACTTCCCGTCATGTTAGTGGGGAGAGACGAAAAATTCTGTATGAGAAGTTGCAGCATGTAAATCCGAGTACGTATCATCATGAAAAACTTAGCGAAATGCAAAGTGACGTATACGCTTCGGGGAACAGAGATTCAAGTACAGCAAATGTTGATGTTCTTAGGAAAATAAAGTCAGAAATGGGAAATACATCATGTGAAGACAGAAATGTTGTGTTGAGTATTCTCCATCAAAAAACTAAGTTTGAGGAAGCAACGGAGAAAAATGTGCAAAACAAAAAGAATTGTTCCTTTGGACCGAAACTGGCATAAGACTTTTCAATGATTTCGCATGTAAAACGAAGGTTTTCCTTGATGCAACTGGCTTTAAAGTAAAGAAAGTACTATCTGGACCGAGTAAAAGAATTCTTTATTATTCTCTTGTACTTGAGCATCCATCAGCGGGACAAGCACCAATTGCTGTGGCAGAATTAATTTCAGCGGAGCACGACGTTGATTCCATTTCTTTCTTTATCTCGAAGTTTTTACGTGATGTTCGTTATGTATGTGCAACCAATATCCCCGTTCTTACTCTTGAGATTGACAATAGTATGGCTTTAATATTATCAATTTTAAAAGCATTCAACTGCGAAGATATGTCTGCATTCTTGAGAAGATCTCATCGTATACTTATCGGACAAGCAAGTAAAGGAGATACAGAAAAATGCAATCCCCATGTCTGCAGTGCTCACGTATTAAATGCTATTAAAAAGAAATCTTTAAAATTGTACGTACAGATATTACTTACCAATCGTAAGCATATATGTTTTATACTACATTTTCCAAAAACATATATACATACATATACATATATGTTCAGCGTATGCAAAGTGATGTCAGGGTTAGCGATAAAACGAACCCATTGTATTGTAAGAAGATGGAACAATATCTAACGAAGTATTATGTCCCACTTGCACTTCTATGGACAGGAATGCTTTTAGGTATAATATATAAATATATATATATTATAAAATATATAAATAAAGTTGCCAATGTTGCTCAAATATATATTTCTGCTATACATATATATTTCTAATTATAAATAAAGTTGCTAATGTGTTCTATCATTCTCTCATTTATTTCAGTGAATATTATATACAGTTGTATCATGCACACTTCATATTAGCACCATCTACTTCATGTTATTTACTATATTATTATGTTATACTTTATAGGTGATCTCACTAGACATCAAGTCCAATATAGAAGTTCAGTGAGTAAAGAAGCTACTCATATCGTAATGGTTAGTATATACATATTGACTGAAAGTTATACTATAATTCATGTAACAAAGCTTTCATTAATTGGTTTTAGGGATGCAACTATAACAAATATAAGGAGAATTTCGACGTTTCAAGCGAAGGAAGGAAGGCGACCATTCGTCACGTAATTTCCCCACCCCGCTACTATAATTTCCCCATGAATTAGGGCCTTCTCCTTATATTATGCAGGTATAGTTGCATCCCCACCAACGAAAGCTTTGTCAGTATTATTGGAACTATAGACCGTTAATGGTGTAAAAATAGAGTCACCATCGTTCTCAACGGCCAGTTTGTAATAGTTTGTACCTGCATGTAAACCACGTATTCTCTATAGTTATATAATCACTCAGTTATATATCGTTCAGTTCTAAAGTGTTGTATTTAAGCTGATGAGAAAGATCGTGTCTCAATCTTTACGGCCGTTACGATCATATGGAAACCAGACTTTAGTGTCAGAATAAAATGTCTAATATAATGTAAAATAGTTGTTTTTACTTTTTATAAATCGTGAATAATGACCATATTATCAACGATGCATTATTGCACGCATTTATGGCACACTTTTGTCGCATTCAAGTTAAGATTAATTGTCAAAAAATGGCTTGTACTTTTTAACATGTAGGAAAAAGGTGTCACAAGATGCACAGATGCTACTCAAGGCCAATGGCAAAAAATGTTTAAAGTTGATGACACACATGGGAATTGGCCAATTCGTCTTGACGCAAAATTGGTAAAAATGTTTCAAAATCTTAACGGACGGTATAGGAATTTTTTAGATGGAACAAAGCAAATTGGAAGGAAGAAGAAAAAGCAGTTAATAACAACAGCAGGAACCACGGTATTCTTAGACTGATATTAGCTATATATCAACAGCCTGATTCAAACAATATGTACATTGATGAAAACATGCCTGTTGTGGCAACCTTTTGAAGTAGCCTATAAACATCCACTTTTGGCAAAGTGCTCAATGGATGACCAGAGCATAATGAAATAAACTGTACAACCACTCGATAAATCCCACTAGGTATCTTTATACTATTTAGTTTCGTACCACAAGATGTGGCACTCACGATTCATCAGCTAAATTAGCCTTATGATCTATCAGCAAAACTTGCAGCATTTAAACAACATTTATTTAGTTACACGCTTATTCTTTGCATGCTTTGGAAATATGGATTTATTTTAAGCTTTTATTCATCTGTACATAACTGATGTATACGTTTTGCTGCTATATAGACATAAGGCTAATTTATATGATGAGTGCCACATCTCGTGGTACGAAAATAAATAGTAATAAAGATTCCTATAGTGGAATTTGTTGAGTCGTTATAATTATACTTCAATTTATTTTATATAAATGCATATGTCAGTTTCAGTACATTCAATTGCATACGTTTTTATTGTATAGCTCCAGAAGGGAAAAGAAAGCGATGATAAGGAACCGAAACTACGCAAAAGCTTGTCAATGGCGGAAGAGAAATGGAACAGGAAGGAAAAGCCTAAAACGAAGAAAACTAAACAAGACAGTCGATTTTTTAAGCCTCCGTCAAAGCCATTTCCAAGCGACAAGATTTTTAATTATTTTTTTTTTAATATTTCACTAATTTTCTTTCACCGAAAAAACCATGCATGTTTGTATACTGTATATAAGTGCATTGCTAATATTATACGCCGTTCGTGGATCGTTATATATTACGCCATTCATAGCTTTTTGAAATAATTATTTTGTTTTAAACTTTTGTTTCGTTTTTTTTTGTAATTGTTTTTAATATAGCAAGAACAACACATCAACTCCAAGAAATGCTGGTAGTAAAGCCTTGCATAATGATACGAATACATATACAGGATTAATGAATTTGGGAAACTCATGCTGGTTCAACTCAATTATTCAGATGGTAAATAGTACTATACTAGGTGACATTATCCAAGGTAAAGTATCAATATATATTTATTCATTGATGTATGCACTATTTAAAGCACGTGTATTCTCAAGTGCTTTATCAATATATTGAGGTACAACAGATCAGCAAAAATCAACTTGGCGTCTTTACTACTAAATAGTTTCGTACCACAAGATGTGGCACTCCTCAGATGAATTGATCTATTATTGTTGTTGTTGTTGTTGTTGTTGTTGTTGTTGTTGTTGTTGTTGTTATTATTATTATTATTATTATTATTATTATTATTATTCTAAATGAAGGACGTTTCACGTGGCGTCATGATTCGGTGCTTAACTTCATAGCATCCATACTTAAATCTGTGAACCATTGTAACCTTTATGCTGACCTTCCTGGCTATATCAGTCCATCTGTTATCACCGGAGATGAATTGCGCCCTGATCTTTTGATAACACTTGAAAACAAATGTATTTATATACTTGAACTTCCCGTCGGATTTGAATCTAATCTCCTCACTAATGCAACTCGAAAAAGACAAAAATATCAAGATCTAATTAACGAACAGCTCAAAAATTATGAAAAAGTGAAATTTGTAAATTTATCGATTAGCTCATTAGGAGTTTTCAGCCACCCGTCGCTAGATTTCACAGAAATGCTGAAAGATCTAAAGTTTGATGAACAATGTAGAAAGTACTATGTTCGGAAAATTATTAATATATGTATCAGGTCCTCGTATTATATATTCTGTAAGCGTAACAAAGAATGGGATAACCCACAACTAATGTCATACTAATATTGTTATTATGTAGAGTATTAATTCAAGTAGACACTGGTAAACTACCTGTAAAGAGAGGTTTATCATTGTAGTGTGTATATATATTATTGAAAGTAATAAAGTTTCCATTATTATTATTATTATTATTATTATTATTATTATTATTATTATTATTATTATTATTATTGTAGGTCAATTTATCTGAAGAGTACCACATCTTGTGATACGATGCATGCCTAGTGGATTTTGTTCATTTGTTGTTCCTTAATTTAAATACGCTCTGGTAACGTTATATATCAATAACATTCCACATACGTTATATATCCAAAACAACCACAACAGTCTGTTTCATCCGTATAGGAATGAAACGGATGAAACAGACTGTTGAAATACAGACTATACGAATCAAACAGACTGTACGGATGAAACAGACTGTTGTGGGTGTTCAATCCAGGTTCAGTGGCTTAAACGCAGTGTGAAACCAAGACAAGTAAATAAGTTAATTTTCTGTTATACATGCATTAATGTAAAAGTGTACCATTTTGGCAATATATCAGGATAAAAAATTTACACTGTTGACGTTGACTGTTAGGGCCAGGCTATAGCGGAGAAACATATTTACTAATTATATGAAACCACAAAGACTTGTGCTCCGTTCTGCGTAACTATTGTATGAACATCTCATATGCCTGCCGCCACGGCATTTACGAAAGTGTCTCGAAACCTGTATTTTCCGTCTCAGTATAACAAGTCCGGCTTCAATCACAACTAGGTCAGCAACTCGCATGCAGTTCTTCACCACACACCCCTCGTGCATGTTGTGCTGACAGGAAACATATAGTAGGACTGCTCATTATTATATACATTAAACGTACGATATATAGTACCATATATCTATGGCTAAATAATCCACAAACTGGCTTATACCGCCTTTTCCTTGGGCTCTAGTGCGCACATGAATCTGGCACAACGTTTAACCAGTTTTACTGGAATTTGGAGCTCTGCCAGGGAAAAGGACAAAGCGTTTTCGGGGCTCGAGTTATAAACAAACACAGATGAACACAAGTGTCTATAAACAAGTTCGTGATTTTCCCCATATTTCATTGGATCGAGTTTGCGCGAGGTATACGGACGGAACGGCGTGAGCTTCTACGCCATCGATCTATTATTTATTATTATTATTATTAATTTATTATTATTATTAAAACTTTATTTACACACGGTATTCTCATCAGGATTTCTCTACAGTTATTTCGCTATAGTTGCGACAAAACAATGGAGCATTCAACATTGTGCCGAGACTGTGAGCCTCCTACCTGAGTCTGTAGCTGATAGACCGTCCGCGTAGTAGCCCGAGACGTGTTCGCAGAATTCCCCAGTTCTTCCAAACCGGCGCTCTGGTCGATCGGTGCGCTTGACTGGCGCAAAACTTGAGTAATTGCCGCTTGAAGGCCCGTTGCAAACTCCGGTGATTGGAAAGCAGAACTGACCAGGCGCCATAGCCAATTCGTACAGGCAACCACTCAAAACACGCAACACGAACACAAAATAACAAAAAAATTCAAAACGCACGTTGTTGTCGTTTGGACGTCAGACTTGGAATGATAGATGTCACCTACTCCCATTGCGCCATCCCCTCGGTCATGTGACGTGCTGACGTCAAGATACCTGGTTCCCAAGTTGCTAACCTTGGTTATTGCATAACCTCATTAAACTGTCACAGACATGAGGTTTCTCGTATTAAACAAGTAGTAGTCTTTGAGATAAATGGAAACGTCAGAAACGCAAGTGGTTTGTTTGATCGCACAATATATGTGTATATATATATATATATATATATACTTATAATATAGTCATTCACCGTATATGAGCTGTTCTGCAAACTGATTGGTTGAATTATTCACCGTATATCAGCTCATATACGGCGAATATAGCGAAAAACAAGACGGCGGTCCAAAAACTACATCAGTTTTGTGAAGCAGAAAAAAGGAAAATATTCGCTTTGAGAAAGATAATAGGAAAACCTCTCAAACAAATTTGACAGGTTAGCAAAATACATTTATAACATAGAAATTAGTTTAAATACAAGTTTTTTTAAAGAATTAATACCGAAACAACAGCAAAAAAAAACATGTTCATTGAGAATATAAATTGTTCAGAAAAGTTTGCAACGAAAGACAAATGAATTTGCAGTCAACAAGCACTTACTATATACTACCAAACATCTGTATAATATATCTGAGCTAGTCTGTGAGATACACCGGTTCTAAAACCATTTCTTTCACTTCGTCTTCGAGTTGTAAAACAAAAGTATTTCAAATTTTCAAGGCCAAGCGGTTTTTGGCCGAACAAATTGTCAAGACATTGTAACAGAGGATAATTAATTATTGCTTCAGTTAATGGCTATATAGACTATATTATAAAACAATTATACCATTCGCTCTCGTCATATATGGCTGATAGCCGACTCGGTGCTATGCACCTCGTCGGCTATCAGTTCATATACGACTCGAGTTCATGGTATAATTGTTAAATATACCTTCGATATTGATATGAAGGTACGTTGCCTCAACTTTGAAGTACCAACATATATGGCGTCTATATTTATTCACACCATGCATGCACGATATCCATTATATATAATTGTGCCTGATATTAAGCTAAATGCCGGAAAATATTGGCCAGAAACATGCTTTGCGCCTTTACGAAGCATGCATTTCACTGTAAACAAATTGAAAATCCTTATTAATAAATCATACAACCAATCATAGGGCTCAATTACAGGAAGTGATTAGTGGTAAACCAATCATAGTTATTGTAACAAAGTCTTCAAAGCACATGTTAAGATCAAATGTATAAACCAATCACAACGGAGTTTAGAACAGTATTTACCAGGCTTTTCTCGTGTGCCATCAGAAAAGAAGACCCTGGGGATGAGGTTGCTGCCTATATAATAACTAGAATTATCCTTTATAAGCTTTTAATTATCGAATGAGAAACCAAGAACAATATAAAATGAACAATAACATGTAAATAATTATGAATAATAATTATAAAATACTATTTATTTATCCCAAATGACTTGTTTTACTGTATAATATACATTCAAAAAAGGTTGTCCTTCGAAAATCTCAAGCTTAAACTCTAAGCGCGCAAGGTGTGATGGGTAACTTCTTACTAAGGCCTAAAACGTGTGGATTTTGCATTGCAACTATGGCAAGACAGATAATAAGCACTTAAGATGTACAACTAGAAGTGTACTAGGATTATTTGTCCAATCAAAAGCCCTAAAAAGAAGTTACCCATCATTCTTTGCGCGCTTAGAGTTTAGGGTTTGAGGATTTTGTAGGACAACCTTTTTTGAATAAGCTGTAACATCCGAAATAAAACGTTTATCCTACCAAAACGCCTATAGTTAGCTATAGTAAGCTGTTCGTATTAATAGATATAATGTTGAATCCTACATATATGCAAGAAGTAAAATAAGATATAGGCCTAAGAAGAAAAACCTACAATACTTATCAATTCTAATTTTCGCCTAAGGATGTTTCCTAATGGTGTTTCAACGCCATTCTGTTGCATTCGTCATTACAATTCAGTGTCGTTCTTTACTGTCGGTGAAGCTCGGCAAATAAACTTCAACAACGCTGCCGTAAACACAAGTTGCAACAGCAAAGAAATTGAGCTGCAACTTGCAGCTATTGTAGATAACGTTTCTAGCAGCCAAAAGTTATCAATTGATGGTGTCTTCGAATCGTGTGATTTGCAATTTCTTGAAGTGTTTGTTTCGTTCTTTTGAGGTAACCGCACTTTGAAATCATTGTGGTTGAAATCAAAATTTCCGCACGTTGGAAAACCCGATGGAATTGGTGGATGGTGCTCGTAAGAAATATTGAATACCAAAGCCATTCCTTCAAAATTGTGCAAGACGGTGTGGCAATGAAATAACCAGTAACCAGGATTATTTGTTTCAAAGCGAACGACAGTATAACCCATAGCTGGAACTACGATAGTATCTTTTAGAGGGGGGCTATTGAGGTTTAAATCAGGCGCGTTTGTCCAGTAAGGGTGAATGCATTTTTTATCATTTTCCCAGTTGCAACCAATGTCTTTGTTACCGTCAATAACAGTACTGGTGACATTGTCAACAACTGGATATCCAATCTTGAGCACACGAAAACTATGGCCATGAATATGCATAACATGGTGAACTCTTCCTCCTCCCCCGTGATAAAGGCGAGTAAATATATTTGACATCAAAACAAGCTGGACTGTTTTGTTCAACGGAAGATTTATAATATGAGAACAGAGGACATCAAAATGATCTTGACAAGGTGTTAGTTCCCAAGTGGAAGAATCTTGAAACAATGGCGCACCGGGCATTATCATTCTGCGACGGTTTATAGAAGATCCAACAAAAAATGCCATATCCAGGAAAATTTCTTCGTCAGCTTCGTCGCTATTATCCACTATTACATCGTGCTGTCGAGATTTGTCCATTCTCAGAGCTGAGAAATCCATACAGTTTACATTGGGGGGAAAATCTGTGCGATATGCTGGCCATGGGCAATTTAAAACTTTACAAGGTGTCTCAATTGTACAATTCATTCTCTGACTGACTGGATCTCCGTTGTTATCGGTTCTGTTTCCGTACTGTAAAATTGCTTTCACATCCCAAACCACTCCATCTGGCTTAGAATTTTCACCACGCCGCCCTTTTCGAAGAGTACTTGCTCTTACCCAGTATCTGGCTGCTTTTTTATTAGCTTCAAATTGTACAACATATCTTTCCCCTGGGAATACAATAACAGACTCCAGATTTTCAACTGGCACCACTGCATGTCCGTCGCTTTCGATAACAGTCATTGCATGTTCATCAATAGACACTCGATAAGTAAACTCACCCGCGGCTGACACGATGTGCATTCGGTATTTCTGGCCTCCTTTGACAACAAAAACCGTCAATGGAGCGCTGTTATTTCCACTCCTTCCCCGGCCATTGATAAGACCAGACCAAAATTCCATAGCGCTAACCTCTATACCATCACCTGATACGCCTATCAAATCATTATGATTAAAATGCTTCGTTCCAGGTCCACGCGTGAAAGCAAAGGGATTAAGTACTTGGAGTTCAGTAGAAGGCACTGGAAACCAATCACTTAAAACGGCAGTGAAGTAAGGCATTAATCCTAGTTCATTTTGTCGGTGTACGATTAATACTCCGAATAAACCGTCAAGTCGTTGAAGATCAGCATGAGAATGATAGAAATGTGTCCCGGGGGGGTTGGCTATAAACCTGTATGTGAAACTTTGTCGAGGGTGAATGGGGCATTGAGTTAAGTAAGGAACACCGTCCATCCAGACGTTATCACGCATATGAATACCATGCCAGTGAATAGAGATCCCTTCTCTTTCTAGTCGATTAACAACTTTAACTCTGACATCAGCCCCTTCTACTACTTCCAGTACTGGCCCAGGAAAAAGATTATTTATTAGAACAATATTTCTTGGTTCCGTGCCGTCTGCTGTATGAACCATTTCTGTCGAGACAGTGAGGTTTGGAACTTCGAGATGAAACCGACTGGTTGCCAGTTTCAGTGTGCCGTTTTCTTGCAAGTGGACATCGTAGACCTTTCCATTATCTTCACTTTTAAATGTCATAGAACGAAATTCCGTTACCACAAGCGTAAATTCACAAACTGATTCAAAGCACGATTCTGATATTGCTCGACAAAACAATAACATACAACAAAAACAACGAAAGCGAACAGTCCCTGCCCAGGACTTCATTGCGATTATCAAAATTTTATATTTGGCATAAACTAATGACACGTTTTTATTTCCTTTAGTACAAATGCAAGTAGAAAATCATCAGCACTTGCCTTGATCATAGTCTTTAAGATGTGATTGTCTTGAAACTTTTCAGAAGTGTTTGTTATATGTTTTTGTCTGAGTTCATGTTAATTTGCGAACGGTTACGGTGATTGAGCTCTTTGTATATTTTCGTATAATTAAGTAACCGTCCAATATAGCTGAGATGAAACGTGCAGCCACAATGAAAAACATTTAATCTAGGTAATTATTAATGAGACAAAGGATTTGTGTACGGTGACGCATAGTTTACAATCAAACAAAGATCTTCTATTTTGTGGCTTTGAAGTTTTCCGTTATTCCAGACCATCATATCATTAATGAACTATGCCTTGATGAACACTTTGTTGCACTTGACAAGCGCTCAAACTTGCTTTTATTTTAGCATTTGATTTTTGGATATTGCTTGGTGGTATAAAATTGTCAATTTTATACCGCCAACTGACTTATCCAAAAATCAATTGCTAAAATAAAGGCGAGTTTGGGCCAAGATGTTTAAATTCTTGTTTATATCAGGTAATAGTCCCGTCTTAACCTTAACCAAGAATTTTTAACTAAATTTTGTGCATAACACAGTTCTGAAGGCGTTCGAAAATAATGCTGACGTCAGCACTTTTATTTTTCAAGACGCTGTAACTCAGGGGGAATTAATCATATTGATTCAAAATTTTTGGTGACCACTCGTAATAATAATATAAACAACATATAAAATTTCCAGTATAGAGTTATTGTTTGTTACTTGGGAAAGATCCATCACTTTTGTAAAATTGATCCTTGTCCAGGCCTCCACGCGCTATCGATGGATCCCTTCGTACCCTGCGTAACCAACTGGTATACCATATATCCATCATTCCACGTTGTTTTTCTTCGATCTCGTGTAGAAAGATGAACGATTTGCTTCGCGATGCCATAGTAAATCTACAAACTTGTTTTTTGGTTCCGAAAATACTCAATAACTGTTATTGCGAGTTAAAACTATATATATATGTATAATCCCAATTGAAGAGAATTAGGATAAGATAACTAGCGTGCAAGTAAATACTGGAAAATTCAAAGCAACCATTAAGACCACCTTCCACAAAAAGTATTGCAGAATACACGTCCACTACCAACATCATGTTATGTAGCCCGGCCACTATTTCACTGGATACGTATATACCAGAACAGGTGGGAAATTTGTCTGAGCATGCGCGAGCAAAATGAGCCACGCAATTGCGTGGAATACACGCAACGCGTGTTTACAAAAAGGCACAATCGTGTAAATATTGCCAAATGTTTGTACAAAATAAATGACTGTTTTATGTTGAAAATGGACATGATCTAAATTAATCATACAGAATTTTTTAGTGACGTTCTATTTCAGTATCCTGCCATTGTCTCTGGTGGGCTGTCCGTGTGCATTCGATCTGAAACAGTCGTTGCTACTTTGCTGTCGAAAAATTTCGAATGTTTACATGAAAATAGAGGCAATTAGTCATGCATTTTACAACCTCGTAAACTGTATGAGCCCCTATTTTTACGCTTATACCTAAGATATCAAACAAAAATACATGAAACAGAGAACATTTTTAGAAAGTTTTATCGTGAGGCCACGGCCAGTTTTTAAAATATCTTTATTTCTGTTCCGGTCGTCACTAAAATTACACTAAAGCCGGGCTTGCATATACAACAAATTTTGAATCTCATCAAGTACAAAAATATTTAAGGTGGCTCGATATAGTTATCACAAAAACCCTGCTCACTAAGAGTCGCGAACTCAAAACCGGGTGATCATTTTTACGCGCAGGTCGTGGAAACTGATTAACAAAATGAAAGAACTTCTAAAATGACCTGACGTAAGCAGTTGCTCGCGCCATATCACGTCATTGCGTGTGTTCTATAGTGTTTTATGTCAATTGCTGACGTCATTAGAATTTTCCATTATAGAAAAACAATGCGCTATATCTCTTTATTTTGTCTGGTGACCTATGTTCAAATTTTGCATGCTGTATTGCACCGCTAAAAACTTTCATTATACAAAAAATAAAAAAATTCTGTAATGCCAAAAAAATTTTACGGAAGAATATGACATTTTCGCATTTTCCAAAAAAATGGTATTACAGAATTTTTTTATATTTTGCTAAATGTTAGCTTTTCGTCGAAGTAACATAATGCACGAAAAAAAATTGAGGGTCACCATGCTTTTTTTCCAACTATACGAGACGATAGGCCATTTTGGAGTGAATTTCGTACACGTATGTCGTCATAGCAACGAACTATCTGTTACTAAGACTTATATAATTTGAAAGTTGAGATATCAAAATATATAAAAACCTCAATATCTGCTGAATAAATCCTGAAAATGCGTAGTTTGAACATGTCAAAGTGTTGAACACCTGAATTTTTGAAAACTGTATCGAGCCACCTTAACGTGTAACCAAAATATGCTCATGAAATCGAAATTAATAGCTAAATTTTCAAACTAGACCCTTCTCGAATCGGTTTTCATGAAGGAAGTTCACATTTCGGCCTTCGATTCTTGGCAAAAATTTGACCACAACACGTGCGAAGCAACTGGGTTTCAAAGACTCAGCTAAAACATTGCGAGCCCCTATTTTCCTGACGATATGTTTGATACCTACAAACGCCGAAAAGTTTTTCTTTTCATTTAGTTATATTTGAAATTGAGGCCACGGGCTATTTTTGAGAAAATACAGTTCAAAGTCAAGCTATTTTTACATATTTTCAAAATTTGTCAAATTTCGCGAGTTTGTATTTTGAACTTAGACAGCTGAAGTTACATTAAGAAACATAGGATGGAAAATTTGAGGCATATAAATTTAATTTCAACTTACATTTCATTCTCATATCACGTCTTTCTTCGTTTGTTACGGTTTTAAACAAGCCATAGATCGACGTATACGGTGTTTACTCCCATGTTCACGTCGCCATATTAACTTCTTCCAATCACTCGATTACAAAACAAATCATCCCAAAACAAAGAATTCATGGTCGACTTTTAAAAGAATAACCGTTAATTTGTAATTCGTTGAATGGAAAGCAACAAATCGTCAGCTAAAACAGCTTCTTGCTAACTTTCTGCTTTGTTTTGAATGTAAATGCAATGAGCTTTGTTTATGCCCGCGATTTTTTGGTCAGCGACGACAAATTTCCCACCTGTTATATACCAGATCTTATTGCCTCGTTCTAATATATACAAACTAATTACTAAAACAATGTTACGAATTGATAAAGTAAAGGAAATATTATGCAAGACTTTTAATGTTTAATATTATGCTTAGTATGCTTTATAATATACATTTTTTTTCTCCCAACGACGCTAATTAATCATAATCTGTCAAACACCAATGTCCGGTTGTGAGGAACATATTTACATAATGCTACAGCAGGAGAAGTTAATCTATTAATGCTAACTAACTGTCTCCTTAATCTCAAAATAACTAGTTGACTGCGTATCCACGTATCCGCGTATCCACTAAAATATAGAGCTACCTATAGCATGAGAATTTGAGCTATAATGCTAATCTAACTGTATGCCTCGTTCTCAAAATAACTACTTGGCTGCGTTCCGCGTATCCACTAGAATATAGAACTGCCTTTAACACTATGACAATTTAATATATTAATGTACTGTAAGTCACTGTATGCCTCGTAGCTATACCTTTACCGCTTTACCACCAGGGGATTTTAATCTATCAATCTATTTATTATTAATCTATTGAGAATAATAAATATAGATGTATTAATACATCGTATCCATGCATGATGTTTGAAAGGCATAGCTTAAAAGCAAAGAAAAGAGGCAAAAAACAGTTACAAAAGCAAAGAAAAGCAAGGGGGAATGGCGGATATAACTTAATAAAATATGTCAGATGTCATCACCACACAAGATATGAAGCCACAATGTGTCCTGCTCAGATTTTGACATCTCAACCAAGCAATACAATATTTTGAAATCACCAATTGCGTGCGCAAGACACACTGGGAAGGCGCATCTAATACGAAGAGTATCCGCTGAATGTTTTGTTTAAGGGCGCGGGTCAATGATGCGTCCGACTATCAATGACGCGTCCGACTATCAATGACGAGTCCGACTGTCTACGGAAAAAAAATTGCGTCGCCGGGTGGCGAAGTAAAGCTATTTACTAGCTGCAATTACATCTTAAAATGGCATGGAAAAAGTAAGAAAAAACTGTCGATTGTTTGTGATGATCACAACCAAAGTCTCGTCGAGAAACTAGAGAAGTTAGCTACAATGATTACCGACAAGCTCAATACAAACAGCGAGCTTCGACACGAAGGCAATATGGCGGGCGAAAGCAAAAAGTCTCATAGCCTTTTGGCATGTAATGCTGATAGCTATTCACAGCAGACGAACAATGTAAGTGAATACGAACCAGAGAAAACCTTGTTATTGCAAGGACTTTACATTACAAATCAAGCGTATCGAAGTTGAAATGAAGCTATTACAAAATCGAATGGACGCTCATGAGATTGATGATCCCACCGTACCTTGAAACAGTGATCTGTCGCTACGACGGGAAAATGTTCGCTTACAAAGTGACTTGGAATCAGCTAAATCCACAATAAAACAACTTAAAACAAAAGTAAACGAATTGCAAAGTAAAAAACTAGCCTCACCACGGTAATTAGATTATTACAAGAAGACATTTTCCTGTCACTGTAATTAGTTACAGTGACAGGAACAATAATGCAAATGATCAGCAAAAGAACGCTTGGACTGCAGCAAAGACACCGAAGAAAAGGAGAAAGAAATCTACGTATGTTACCAAAGAAAGATTGCCCACTGCATCAACCAATGCTGTTACAGTGGAAACCGCATCAACGAGTGCTGTTACAGAGGAAAATATAGCACTCGCGGATACAATGCCAGAAGAACTGAATGTAAATGGTCATTCTAATAGTCAAGGAGAAACCCAGGAAAGCAGCAGTAATATGCAAGAGGAGCAAAGTAGAGCCCATAATAGTAAACAACGGGTCTTTCTATTTTATGAGTTCGAGTTGATAAAATCGAGTTATGAGTTCGAGTTCAAAAATCGAGTTAGCATTTTTGTCAGCGGTAACACAAAATAATATATGTTAATTCAGCCGTTCCGCACGTTGTAACCAATAATTTATTGGCGTTGTAATGCCATTGTATGCAATAAAGTATTGGTTACAATGGATTTACAATTAATCCAAACGCTAATCCTAACTCAAACCCTAATCCTAACCCTAATCCTAACCCCTAACCCTAACCCCACCTTCTAACCCCTAACCCCTAACCCCACCTGCTAGGCCCGCAACCTAACCGCAAACCCTAACTGTGGGGATTTTGATCAGCATTTTGACCCCGAGTTGGGGCAATTTGAAGCGAATGACTTTTATTAACATAGTATTTATTGGAATTTATTGCAAAATGGTGGGGCGTTTGAGTTTGACCAATATTTATTGCCCGACGGTGGGGCATTTGATTGAAAATTTGCTCAAAAAATCAAATACCCCACCCATGCCCGACCCCTCCCCCCTCTAGAGCTTAACATTGATAGGTGCATTAGTTTTTGGCAAACGCCAAAGGCGTGAGACTGACTAGGGGTGTCCAGGGGCATTCCCCCGGAAAATGTTTTGAAATATAGAGCCCCTGAAATTCGATTTAAAGCATTTTTGGGATGTAATCTTGCATAATTCCCAATCTTATAAAGTGCGTCGAAGGCATATATTTTCCCTGACATTTCACCTTGCAATTAAATAAATTGAAAAAGTCACCTTCAAAAACAGGAGTGATCAGAGTGACCTTGTTTTCCCTTTTTGATAATGGAGGGGGGGGGGGAGGAGAAAATCCCAATGTAATTTTGATCAGAAAAGTTGCATTTAAATAAATTCTAGGTTATGAGATACCATTTCTGCATTCTCAAAATTGTGTTTCTTTTTTATACGATACAGAATAAGTCAAGTAAATATGAGAAGAAATATTCATGCTAAGATAATGCATGCATGTATTTAACTGTTAAAAATCTAAACTAAATCCATTCTTCTTGGAACCATATAACTACAATTGTTTTAACGAGATCGTACAAAAAATCAAGTTCCTCAAGTAAATCGTCGTTTTCCTCAGTCGAGGCGTACTTAGCCAGTTTCAGCTTCGAGCATGTAACATGTACCCTCTAGCCTCCCTCCCCCCCTGGCTACGCCACTGCCGATACATTTAGTGTTATTTGTTTTACAAGGCCAATTCTAAAAACAAAAGGAAACTAGATGAATTTGAATGGTGGGATGAAGGGTTGTACAACCCTGGCGCCCCAGTATTGCCTCTTGGTCTGTCTGGAAGTCCAAGAACTAAAGTATGTACTGTACATATAAAAATGTAAAAAATTCCAACTTTTTAATTATTTGTTTGCCTTGTTTGTTTAAAAAGGTGTTTCTCAAATCCTGCTACATTTTATGCTTTTATATATAGTTTTAGATTTCAATTGTATAATATGTAATTATAAATACACCAGCATCATGTAATATTGCCGATTGAGGAAATATTGTGTGAGCTTAAAATTAAAACTCTTTTTGTAGTGTAGTGAAGATAGCAAAAATTTCAAGGGCGAAAGCAGTAAAAGCAAGGTATGTGGGCCCATGATTGAGGACATATGCCATTGCTGTAATGATATAGAAGTAAGTTAGTTATGTAATAATTTTTCATTTTTTGTATTGGTTCTCTTCTTTAATTAAGGAAAAACCAAGCAAACAATGCCCATTTTGTAATGAATCTTGCTGGACAGACAAAAAACTGATGAACCATATCATTGATGCTCACAACGATGGTATTCCAAAGAAAAGAAAGCAAAATGACAGCTTTTCTGAAATTGTAATTCACAGATTTTGTTTATTTAATAAGATGCATTACATCTTCTTTAATTAATTAAATAAAAAATATTTTTAGAATATGTAATGCAGCGTAATGTGAATAATGCTTGATAGTAAATGGTTAGTAACTCATTAAGTGGCAATACATCTTAGTGCACCCTAGCTTTTTCTGCCTAACACCAGATGACTTTAGTCATCAATGGAAGAGCTCTGCCACTTAATGGATTTTTGAACCGTGCAATATTTGTCACACCCGTACACTGTTACAAAAGATTCACCATTATGCCATTATGTGATTGTATTTTTCTGCGTAATCCCCATTATACATAATAATTTTTCATTCTTCAGGCCGGATTCATTATGTGTGTTGGTGAGTGACAGTAGCATTGAAAGCAGTCCTGAAAAAACTGAAAGTGCAAGACTTTAAAACTATAAACTGTCATGTTTGGGCCGTATTTTTTGTTTGGGGAACTTCTTGCAAATTATTTGGAAGAACCCACTGTTTATTTGGAATGTGTTTTTTTTTTTCACCATCCCCCAAGCTCTTACTAAGCTACATTTTGAAGGTCGTTTGATGTGATTTTTGCTGGAACATAAGCACATGATGAAAACTGTGCATGTTACTGCTGACTTACTTCTAGCTCTTTCTTTTACATTGTTATTTTTTAGTTCTGTCCCAACAATTTTAATTTGGTCCTAGAACACTTACAGTATACGAGAATACTTTGGAATAATTTCTTAATTTAATGTTACATTTTGATGCTTAATTGTCAATGATTACTTACAGTGTATTCACATTTTAGCAAAAGGTCTCTAAAAGTGGCAAGAAATTTGCTGGATGAAGAAATGATTTCTGATGATGAACGGTACTATTTGCAGTACTCTGTTTATTGTTCATTTATTTAATGATCTATGCAAATAACGAAATGTTATTGGCTCGCTTAAGTCACGTGCTGAATTCTGATTGGCTAAGCTTAGAATGCGCTGGACGGTAATAAGTAAGGAAAAACTAAAAATTTATCAAAACAGTTAAAAAACATTGTTTTAAAGAAATAAAAACGTGTGATAAAAAGGCAATTATTTAATTTTGAATGTTGTGTAACTAATTAAATGACTGCAATTACTACCATTTCACGCGTTTCTTCACGTTCCAAACGTAACGTTTCCTAATGAATTCTGTTACTTTAACCAATGAAATCAACACGTTTGAACATAGATCATTTGCCGCGCGCAGCAAGCACTCAATGAAAAGCATTGTTCATATATATACACAATATACCTAAGGTTGGCAACTATATCTCAACTGACGAATATACGACTTCGGCAAAACGCAAAATACTTCGCACACGTAAATAAAACATGATAAAAAAATTATAGCACATTAAACTCTGATAATTTTTCTATTTACTCACACGTAAATTTTGTTTTCAAGACTGTAAGAAAGCTGAAAAATTTGCACAAACATTTCATGGTTTCACGAAAGTTTTGTTGTCACCATGCGGGATGCTAGAGGTTATTTCATTTGTCATATTGTCAAAAAAATTATGTGATTCATTTGGTTGAAAATAAAACATTTTGTGACGTATTTATAGTAAGAATTTGGTTTCAGGGGGGGGTGAACTACAACATGAAGACTGATAAAATACAAGAGCAATTTTCTTTCGAAGATAAAATGGTGGATTTTAACAATTTTTTATACCCTTCCATATTCCATAACTTTTATCTACAGCAAAACAACCAGGCAACTTTTAGCTACATGTACACATAATGTCATAAACTTCTGAGCAATAATAGCGAAGAAAATTTGTTAACAAGACATAAACATAGACATATGTTATAAATTATTTGTTATTGAAAAGTGTCCTATTTTTTAGGCAGGAAACTGTCGAGTTAAGGAAAGTTAGAAAAGGCTATCTTCATACCCGTCACTGGGATGAAGTACCTTTGCAACATGTTGAAGTTCTTCCCTTTGATATTGATGGACATTGTCGATATTCTTTACCATGCAATCCAACAAAACTTATGCAATCCAGTAAAGATGGACGGCCATGGCAAGCTTATATTTCATCAAGTCGGAAAGGTTTTAAAGGCATTAGAAGAATAGCTGAATGCAAAGGTTCTCATGTATGCAACAATATACAATGTCCTTATATGCAACAATTCAAAACTTTTAACACCGTTCAGTTTGAGTCATCGGGTGGTAAGCGAGTTTGTTCGTGTTGTGGTTATGCTGCTGACCATACTCCATGCGAAGCAAGAAAAATGTGGGAGTTTGAGAATGGTCACTCTGCAACTACTGTTATTATTTATCACGAGGGAACGCATTCCTGCACAGCAGTTAGACCAAAACGCTCAGCAGATGAATATGTCAAATCTGTCCTTAAAGAAAACAAACACATGACACCTGGCCAGTTGCCAAACTACATCATAACCAAGATGATAGACGATGGGAGTGACTGGAGTGAGATTACAAATAAAGCACGCGAATTTACCGATGTAGAAACGTCAAAGTTAAAAAGTGCTATGAAGAAACAAATGAATCCGCATGGACAGTTTCAACGCTGTTACTAAACTACAAGAAAAGACCAGAGAAAAGGATCGTTTTTACTTATATTCGTTTAATAATAGAGAAATGAATCCATCCAATCCTACGTATGTTTTTAAAACAAGCACAGTTTCACTAAATATTGCTTTGAACATGCAGCAGTCTGCAGATCATTTTATGCGAAAAGAGTACTGCTATTTTGACGGTACTCATTCTCGTTGTCATGGACTTAAGACACTGACATTGTGGACTTATCATCCTTTGCTGCGTAAACTTGTAAAACTTGCCACAATGGATTGCGAAAGAGAAAACCAAGAATGCATTTCGCTTTTTTGGAAGCTGTGGAATGATGCCCTTTCGGAGATTTCCAAGAATCCTGCCTACACATTTGACCCAAAAGGATGGTGCATGGATGAAGCAGGGGCTAACTGGTCCGCAATAGAGGAGGTATTCGGATCAGAGGCATTGTCTAAATGTAAATCTTGCGAATTTCATTTTAAAGATTGCAGAAACCGACACAGACGAGTGCTGTCGACACAAGAAGAAAAAGATAAGTTTACTGAGCTAACAGATCGAATGCTTTATGCCACCACCACTTCAACATATCAAAAAAATTTAATGGAACTTCTTAACTTTATTGATGAAGTTAGAAGACCTAACCTTAAGTCATGGGTTAACTGGTGGCATGATAGGCGGGACCATATATTTCGAGCTTGGCGCCCAGCCAACAACCCTCCAAACACGAATCTTGCGGAAGTAGGGCATTCAAGTTGGGCTCACCAGGGAGCTAAGAACCTTGATTTAATAACTGCTGCTAAAGAAGACATCACAGAAATGGTGAGACTCGAAGTTTCCATACAAACATTTCAATCAGGAGAATCAAAACCTGGAAATGGCCCTAGTTTTGAACAGGGGATTTGCAAGAGTTACTATGAGCAACAGCGAACTGCTAAAGAATTTGCTGATCAACTTTGCTCTGGATTTACAGAAATTTCGCGATCTGTTACACATCGAGTTGATCAATCTGCCAGCCATAGAGCAGATAAAGAAGTCCGCTCAGCACACACAAGAACAAGGCATTCTCAAGAATTTACCAGATCTTTGGAACTCGCTAAGCGTTATAGACTCTGCGTAACATCTGTCGATTACCGAACAGAGGTTAACTGCAGATTTGTTTGCAAATGCCATGACGATGATATAATTGTTACGATCGCACACAAGCCACTATGCTTAAAAAATGGAGACATTTGTAAATACACCAGAAACGGGACACAAGTTTGTAGCCATATCTTATACGTATTGCTGAACAAGGTTGGACTAGAAGAAGATGATGGAAGACTCGACCAGATTGCGTATACAACTAGTGAATTAAAGTCCATGCTGGCTAAATTTGCAACCAAATCGCCGTCCCATGTATTAGTTGGTCAGGCATTAAGTGCCCCAGTACCGACTAAAAAGAGTAGCGAGTGGAAACTGCAAAGGATGCCACTCCAGGGTGTGGACCTAAGCCAAAATGTAAAGGCTGCAGCAAGCGTGTTTTTATGACTGGTGACCTTTGTGTTGCTGTCATTGGGAAGTATACTCCTAAGCATAAGGATAAGGACGGCAACCACTTTCAAGTTGAAGCAACATATCGTTATTGTCATAAGTTGTGTTGTATAGCAAAATCAAGTTTGCATGCTCCCAAAAGAATCCTGCTTGACACTGACTTACAATTAACGCTGGAAGAACTGGACTCGTTGCAAAATTTACCTATTGTTTCTATGTGAATTGACAAATCTATATAATATGATTTCCTACATATAGAGACTATATACAGTAACATTGTTGTTGAAGTTTGTTAAACCATTAGTATGCAGTGAGTGCTTTCGCGTCCTTCATCATCAATATACAAGGACAAATCGTACATGTAGACCCAAATAATTTTTTTCTATTGTTAGAATGTCGTTTTCAATTTACGTGCACATACGGCCGTTTCTCTTAACGTTTATGCATGCTAATGAGTAACTTGCTTTCACAAATCAACGCATGCTCTTATTTCATTTCGCTTTTTATTTTAAGAAATGAAAATGTCCCCACGTTTGGCACTTGTACTGTAATCTCTCCCATTAGCTCTAAATCGTACGGTATGGTTTAAGAGGATCATGAACAATGCCATGCATGAGAAAAAGAGATGTTCACACATGCACGCCCACAGAGGCATTTGGGGGACTTGTTTGGTTATAAGGTATTGGTGCAAAGGAATATGACAAGTTCTATAGAGCAACAATTGGTGCATAAAAAAATTATGTTTAAACACACCCAAGTAAAATTTGATAGTCTGGAATGCAAATTGGGAAATTTAAAATTAGTTTGGAATAAAGTTTAGTTTTTAAAACGAACTTGCTCGTTTTTCGAACTCGTTTTTCGAACTCGATTTTCTAACTCGAACTCGATTTTATAACTCGAAATCATAAAGAATACAAACTCGTAAACAACTAAGCCTACAAAAGTCATAATAGCGGGTGATTCAATGATTAAGCACTTAAATGGATATAGAATGTCTGCAAAAGATACGAGGGTCCAAGTTTCAACATTTCCCGGATGCACTATCTTAGATATGGCAGACCACGTCAAACCCATACAAAGAAAACGACCTGACGAACTTATTCTGCATGTTGGCACTAATAGCCTTAAGAGTAGGGAAACTTCTACTAAACATGCCGAAGAAATAATCTCGCTAGCAGAGTCAGTCAAGAATACTTAACCTGAGACAAAGGTTATAATATCTGGTCTAATTACTCGGATAGATAATGGTGATCTTGCAAATAAAGTGAATCAGGTTAACAAAGTTTTGAAAGAAATGTGTCTCGAACGCCACTGGAATTTCATTGGACATCATAACATACATGTCCAATACTAACGCAAATGTCCAATGGACATATGAAATGTCCATTGGACATATGACTGTCCATTGGATCCAATGGACAACTTCAGTTCAGTTCCATCAAATTAATGTGGAAAATGTAGCGTTGGCTTTAATGAATTTAAAGACTAACAAATCTACTGGTTTGGATAAAATTCCAGCCAAAGTCCTTAAACTAACTGCAGATATCATAGCTCCGTCACTGTCCTATATATTTAATTTATCACTCGAAACAGGGATTTATGTTGACGACTGGAAACGGGCTCGAGTGAATCCAATTTATAAATCAGACGACAGACTAAAATGTGAAAATTATAGGCCGATTTCTATACTACCAATCGTAAGTAAGGTTTTTGAAAGAGAGGTTTTTAGACAAATTTATAGCTTTGTTTCTGATTATTTCTTACTCTCCAAGTTTCAATCGGGATTTCGACCTAAACACTCCACACGGTCCTCTTTGATACAAATGTGTGACGATCTACTTGAGAATATGGATAATGGCAAAATAAATTGTGTCGTGTTCCTTGATGTACGTAAGGCCTTTGATTGTATAAACCATGAAATACTATTAAAAAAGATGCTTAACTACTTTGGTATATCAGGAATTCCACTAAATTGGTTCAAGTCTTATCTATCTGATAGAGAGCAGCAATGTCTGGTAAACGGTCATTTATCGAGCTCGAGAAAGATAAAATGTGGTGTACCGCAGGGATCTTTCTTGGGCCCTTTATTATTCCTATTATACATAAACGATATGCCTGACTCCTTAAAATATTCAACTCCATCCCTCTACGCAGATGACATAGAAATTTATCTATCCTCTAAAAATTGTGATGACATTGTTATTAAAATAAACCTTGATCTTGAAAATATTCGAAAATGGATGGTACAAAATAAGCTCCAAATTCATCCGACAAAATCGAAATATATGTTTACTGGATCAGCGTATAATATTAAACATAAGGTATCTGGTAACCCAATTCTTGTTAATAACGTTCCAATACCCAGGACTGAAAATTATACTTGCCTTGGTGTCAACATTGACGAAAAATTGACCTGGGAAAAACATATTGATATGATATGTTCAAAAGTCAGTATATAATATGTTGTTGTTTCGTTCTTAAGAAACCACGCAATATATCAATATATTATATTCCCTTGCGGTCACCTCATGAGTGACTCCAGTACATAGTTTATTAGTTGATGTTTTGCAGGTAGACTCGATCAGTATTAAATCACCAATCAGGTAAAGGCTAGCTTCAATTCAGGAAAATTATCCGTGGATTGGAACGCACAAGAAAATTTTTCTTTGTGTTGTGAGCTCTGGGTTGGAACTAATGACTTCAACACAAAGAGAAATTTTCGTGCCCGTTCCAATCCATGGATAATTCTCCGAACTGGAAATTAGCCTTAAATTAACTCGATAAGTAATGACATTACATGGCAAACACGCAAAATAAAGCCATTTCAACGGTTTCAATTGTTTTTTAGCCCGGTTGAAATTATTTGCGATTACATGCTGGCTGAGTTTCGCCTGGCTGAAACTCAGCCCGGGCTGAAATTTCAGCCCAAACCGGGCTGAAAATTCATCCCAGGACTGGAATTTTGGTCTCTGTTTTAATAAGATTTTTTGGGCTCTGTGTTAATAGGATTTTATCCTTAGGACTTTATCCAAATCCGCTAGCGAATATAGACCGGGGGGTCCATATCCTCTAGTGAATATGGACCTATGGGCGTCTTTATTCGCTAGCGGATTTGGACTCCCCTCGCGAATTTGGACCCCTCGCGTATTTTTTAATTGCAACGTATCGTATTTTGAATATTGTACTGAAAGCGTTTTAAATCGTCATAAATCTCATCTGATTTATTTTAAAAACCGTACGAAGATTTTTAGACGATCAAATCTTAGATTTTTAGATTGGAGAATTCCGTCAAAGTTTATGACTTACAATTTTTTGGTACATGGGTTTATTTCTATAATCTTGGAATGTGCAAGAACTGAGAAGCGCATGAAGCCTTCACAAGTTATTTACTTCTTGGAATTGCTATCTGCTCAGACTCTTAATGCTAGTTTCCACTCAGGAAAATTATCCGTGGATTGGAATGGACAAGAACATCTTTCTTTGTGTTAAAGTCATTAGTTCCAACCCAGAGCTCACAATAGAAAGAAAAATTTTCTTGTCCGTTCCAATCCACGCATAATTTTCCTGAGTGGAAACTAGCCTTTAACTGCTCATGCAAATAAAAATGGAAAATGAAAATATACCTGGGGGTCCCTATCCGCGGGGAGTCCAAATCCGCTGTGACACCGGGAAACCTGGATGAAACACAGCCCGGGCTCAAAACTCTCCATGTAATCGGCCCCTTTCAAAATCACATTGTCCACTATTTTATTAAAACTTATGGAAATTAAGAGTTACACGTTTACGCTTATGTCATATTTGTTTCTTTCTACATTTCGTGAAAAAAAAGATCAATCGTATTCGCTTCTTTCTGCATGCATGAAGTCGATTTTCCACTTCGCGTTTTCGGAGTAAAAATGTTCTTTACATAATTGTTTTCCTATTCCTATTCGAAGAGCTAGTTAACGTGCCCCAACAGTCACTGAAAATCATTAACTTATGCTAGAAATTTCATCGACGTAAGTAAACAAGAACCAAACACACTCACGAAGAGAAAACCGTTCGGCGAAAACGTTATTGTTATTTTTATTATTGTATTTTGTAGAGAGACACACATAACAACACACACACACCAACACACACACACACACACACACACACACACACACACACACTTGGTAGTACTACACAAATATATATGCTATTTACATCAAAATTTCTTAAGATCGGTCCTAAATTTAAATGTAACACTGTAAGTGGAAACTCGGCTTTACTATATAGGCACACACTTTAAGCATCACGGTAACAACACGTTTGAACTATGTTCACGATCTTCGGTAGTACTCACATACATTTTATCTCATAAGAAAATATATATATATACGCACATGAGAGAAAAATAAAGGTCCGCCCGTATTCTACAAGCTCACTCACACTCAATGAGTGGAGGTTCAATCTCAGCTTCTCTTGAGTGTCAATGCTGTTTTTCAATAGCTATAGAGGATTGGTGTCGTACATTACTATGTGACTACTCACCCTCCAGTTATTCAAAAACAGCATTGACACTCAAGAGATGCTCAGATCATAGACGGATGTTAGCTATAACCCCCAATATTAGCTATAACACCCTCCCCCCCAAACAAAATGTCCACCCCTCCAAAAAAAATTTCAACCCCCCCCCCCAATATTCGGCATAATAAAAAGTAATTAAATAGTCCACTCCAACGTGCAGAGTACGTGTTGATGATACAAAATAAACGTAGGAGTACATTCAAATAGAAAAAGACAGTGCAATACTCTGAAACTAATTGCTCCTCGCTGGCATTCACTGGTTTATTGGACCAATTGTAAAGTTTTGAAACTCTATTATCTCCCCTGAATAGAGTTTGCAGTGCCTTGTCATGCAAATAGCTTGCTTGCAAGAAACATTTGTAAATTTTACGAACATTATTTTTAGTTTTTAATTCTTTTAGGAAATAGTCTTGCCTAGATTTAATCTTTACGTCCCAAATATTATT